GACTGTAGTATGATGATATTCAAAGATCATATCCTGATACTCGAACCCGAAACTTCAAAAAAATAATAACATTTGTAAACTACCCTACAGATCGCGTGAACCTGGTTGGGCTACAGGCAGGCAGGAAACAATCAGCAAAACCATCTCTTTCTCTTTCTTTCACTGTCGATACATTCATGCATATAAACATCCCCAGCTTCAACCAAATTCTTCCATTTCTGTCTCAAAATCTCTGCAATAACTTCTTTCTTCTCTCTCACTTAAAAAAAAACTTTTATTGATCTTGTTTTGTTGCTGTCTGAAAAAAAGGAATGAAGGTGTACGAGGAGAGTGATTGCTTTGATCCCCACTCCATCGCAGATTGTCAGGACTTGATGGGTTTGCCGGGGGCCACCATCAGTTCGGAAGACAACCTCAATCTCTCTTCTTACCACCACCGCCATGAGGATGTCTCCTCTGCCGCCGCCGCCATGGATATGGAAACCCACCAACACTATTTGCTTGATAATACTACCCCTCCACCAACAACAGCAATGCTCATTTGATTCCCTATCTAACACAGGAGCTTTCTTATGATCAGTCCAATTGGGAAGCTTTCAATATGGTCCCTTCTCCTTCAGCTGAAGCCGCCGCCGCCGCCGGCTATACTCCTACACCTGACCTTCTCAGCCTTTTCCATTTACCCAGATGTTCTTTCCTCCCTAATTCCTCCATTTCCTTTGAAACAACACCCGGCTCTCCCCCGGTTGTATACGACCCACTTTTCCATCTCAACCTGCCCCCTCAGCCGCCTGTTTTCAGGGAGTTGCTGCAATCTCTGCCGCATGGCTACACCGTGCCGGCCGACGAAAAAGATGCTGACGGAGTCGGTGGCCTTTATCATGATGGCGACAATGGCATGATTGAGTTCACCAGGGACATCTCCATGGCTGGTCGTACCAAAGGCAGAGATAAAGCTGGCAAAACAACCAAACACTTTGCAACCGAAAGAGAAAGGAGAGTTCATCTAAACGACAAGTACCAGGCTTTGAGGACAATGGTCCCCAGCCCCACCAAGGTACCCTATCCTTAAAAATGCTTGTTTCTTTCATGTTGAATTGCACTAAAAAAGTTTCAATCTTTTGGTCTTTGTTTATTGTGTTTCATTGGCTATACAACCAAGAATGATAGAGCATCCATAGTTGGAGATGCTATAGACTACATCAAAGAACTTATTAGAACGGTTCATGAGCTTAAAATACTGGTCGAAAAGAAGCGATGCGGCCAAGATAGGAGCAAGAGGCTCAAGGCTGAAGATGCTGCTAGTGCTGCTGATGCAGGGGATGTTGATTGCAAGCCCCTAGGTAATCCAGACCAATGCTACAACACTTCTTTGAGGAGTTCTTGGCTTCAAAGGAAGTCGAAGGATTCCGAGGTGATGTACGCATCATCGACGACGAAGTTACCATCAAACTTGTGCAGAGGAAGAAGATCAATTGCTTGCTGTTCGTGGCCAGACTCCTCGATGAACTTCAGTTGGATCTCCACCATGTTGCTGGTGGAAACATTGGCGACTATTACAGCTTTCTCTTCAACACCAAGGTGAAATATTTCCTTTATACATACATGTTTTTTCTCCACCATAGGTGCATGTTTGACGGTTTCGAGTATATTTTGCAGATATACGAAGGCTCGTCTGTTTATGCTAGTGCCATAGCTAACAAGCTCATCGATGTCGTGGATAGACAATATGCAGCCGCTCCGCCAACCAGTAACAATTCTCTGTAGTTTGCCAGTGATGGAAAGGGTTCATCTTTTGTGTTTGTCTTTAAGCTGTCGAGTTTAACAAGCATTACTTTGAATAGTACTGTTAATCAAGTTTTCATCCTTTCTACTTTAGTAATGATATAGATGCAATAGATATGGTTTTTAAGTTTAACAGTTTAACAAAAATAAATCGAAAAACTGTGATCCTCCATTGATTTTCCTGGTGATAGACACCCTCAATTTTAGTACTAAAACTGGATTAATTCATTCAATCGTTTAAGCTCGAAGTAGCATCTAGTGTTCAAAGTCGATCACCTAAAGATGCTTTCTTGCACCCAACTACGCAACAAACACTCGGAGTTCAAGCGAAGATCCTTTAAGGTTTGCTTCAATTCGCAGGACCCGACATGCCATTTAGGCTAGGGGATCTCTGGTGATAAGCACTAGTCCTTGTAATTGAAGATACAAGGCACTGTCTGCTCTTATATGGTGAGTAGCTTTCAGACTGAGTATCGAAATTCAAAGGCCTTAGCTTTGGTGAACTCATCAATCTTACCTTGGCCTTTGCGGATTGTGTAGCGGCCATGTATGTTGGAATTACAGGAGAGGCCGAAAGACAATTGTCTTCTCCCAAAGAAGACTGCTTCTCGTGAATCGATCTTTGAGGAAACTGTAGCATTGGATAATCCGATCCTTCCAAATTATAATGATCATGTCTTGGGAAAGTCTTCAGCCTTAGCTGTTTAGCTCTGTTTCCTTCCGTAGGCTGCTTGCGATTTGAAGTTCAAATCGAGTCCAAATCTTCGAGTTCTTTACTTTTACCGACTTGAGTATCCACCCATTCGTCTAACCAGTACTTTAACCTTCCATTACCCTTGTTTTGCTCTGATTCAGCTGACTTCTGCAATTTTCTTTACCAACCCCTTAGAACAATGCACTAGGAAAATAAAAAATTGAAGACAGATACTCGAAGCCTTTACCCGATGAACATACGAGTATTCTTTTATCCCCCCTCTTTTGATTGCAGCTTCTTTCTTGCTTAAAACCATTGCATCTGCCTCCTCCTTTGTCAAAATGCTATCATCCCATCTTCTTTGACTGTTTATGTCCACCTGCAATTTTGTTTAAACATTTCATCAAGATATCGTGCCATAAGAGTTTGGCAAATACCTTAATCATCTTGTCTTCCAATGTCACCAACTGTTTGGTCTCATCGTATGGCCAAGTGCCTCCCTTTGCAAAAACCTGAGACTGCATGTTCACTATCGATTGTAAGCATCTTAGAGTAGTCATTAATTGTCGTCTCACGGCCGTTCCACGGATGATTGCTTGAAGCTTCACTATCCCCTTCAGCGCCCGCAAAGCTTTCCTTTCCTCCACAAGTTAGCAGTATGCCAATTTTGTTGTCAGCTCAGTTTTCTTGCAAGAAACTAGAAAACAACTAAATTAAAGATGGAACGAGAGAACTTACAAGGCATCCCCTAAAGGTGGCCTGAATTTCTTTGGCTGTAACTTCTTGGATATTACTCATATGCTTATTAGATGAAGAGGAATCTAGTTGAACATTCTTGGATTGTTCATCACATATATGCTCGGATTGAAGGGTAACGGTGAGCGGAGCAATCTCGGCCGCAACCTGAGTGGCTGAAACCGGTTCTTCGGCCACGGTATGCTTATCCTTTGTTGGTGCTGTCAACCTTTTGGTTCTTGACCTTCCGAACATCCATTTCCTCCTCCTCTCCTTCTGAGAAACAGATAGTAAGAGCCTCAAAGAGTTACCTTTTCTGTTTTTGCATTTGTCTCAAAGTGGAAGAGCCTCTTCACTAGACTGAACCAGCTCTTCTTCTTAGCCATTGTTTATTTTCATACAAAATACCAAGAAAAGTGTGGGATGAAGGGATTTTCATGAGATACAACTGAAGAAACCCAAGTATTTTCCCTTGAAAAACTGAAACCACAAAAACCCAAAAGTAGATTAAAATCTAGCCATGTGTACAAATAAATATCTGTCCAATGATTCTTAGTTTTCTAGATTTTCCGTGTTTTCATCTGTTCAAAGTTGTTGGCCTTCCTAGTTAACCATTGTATGACATATCTGTTGGGAGTAAAATTACTTAGTTACCCCTAGAGACGCAGCTGCTCGAGTTTGGATCTCGGAACAACATTCTTTTTTACCACCAGCGTATACATATAACATACAAAGTGGCATTATTGAGGGAAGTGGGGACTATTGATTGTTGGGATGAGAGCATATTATAAGAAAACAAAGCAGCGTTGTGTTGTGAAAGGGAATTACAGCTGTTAAAGGGCCCAGGTGTTCAAGGAATGAACTATGAAGTATCACCCATCACTTATAATAGGGTGTTTCAGATAATGGACTATTTTAAGGTGTTTTAGACGCACTATGACATCCTTTTAGCATAGTCTATGTTGTTCCGACTCTTCATTTTTTCTTCAAGACTCTCCGAATAAATGCGCGAAACTACGAGAAAACCGGCACGAGCCATGTTAAGGCTTGAAGATCAAGGCTCACTATGTTGTAAGAAAGAAGCTAGTCAATGTTGCTGAGAAAGTAAGTCGCATCTTTTTCTTTTTCTGCAACAGGAAAATAAAGTTGAAAGCTACAGTATGGTAACTTAAACTTTGATGCATCAAAAGCATATCGACTGAATTGCACATGTTGGTGCAGCAGTATGATTACAAGAACACTGATATTAATTCATTTAATCATCTTGCATCCATGGTAGACATGGTTAGGCCGTTCACCGAGTAATTTTCCATATCTTTGTCCATCACATTTGCTTCTACAATCCTACTTTCGGTGGAAAACGCAGGGTGTTTTGGCAATGGCAACTGCATTTCTCCGCACTTCTCACCTTTGTCTCTGAACTTCGTTCCTTCCCATCTATTGCAACCATCATCTGATCTATCACCAGTACAGGTTCTCGAATCGAATACGACAAACTTACTTCCAAGTAATCTCCCATCATAAACCAACACTATCCTCGACTTTTTCCTACGTTCTTCAGGAGTAAATTGACTAACGAAAAGCGCATAATAGAGATATTGCTCATTTGAATTAGAAACATGAGTGAAATTATAGTTCACGCTCAAGGGGAGAATATTTCTAAAACCTTCACCGGTAGTCCACAAAATCCGCTCTCTAAGCCGTACAACTAATCCTTTCCGATAGGATCCCATTCCAGGGTAAATGATCCAGACGCCGGGATCGATCTGGTTAACCAAGAAGTCAGTCACAACCTTGCCCCATGGCTGACACCCAATTTCATCCCAGCCAGGAAAGTGTCAGTTGGATAATCAAAGCTTTGCCACAACACTTTGTTTGTACCTTGCAAAACAAGATTGCCTGAATCTTGCAAGACAAGCTTCGTATCTGAACTGTTAATGGTGATAGAGGTAGATTGGAGTGAGAAAAGTCTGATAGGATTCCCACCGCTGCAAATAATTTTAAGTCTGGTATCGTCTACCGTGGGAACTCCCGAGTCATCTGCGATTGGGTCGTCTCGGTTAGCCAACCAGATCGAGCAGTTCGACTTGTCTTCAGTGTACCACATAGCCAAATAATATCCAAATTGTTTGTCATCCCAAGTCTGACCATACTCTTGTTTGAAGAAGCCTAAGGTGACGGCTCCATTTCGGGATGCAAGATAATCAGATGAATTGGAATTAAGCTTATCACCATGGTTGAGTGTGTTGGTTGCAGCTTCAGTTAACCGAAGACATCCCAAAATTAGGACCACAACTCGAAAGCTTAACATGTTCCAGACGGAGTTAAGTGGAGTTTGTCTGGTTGGCATTTTCTTCATCTCTTATTGCGTTTGTTGGTGAGTTCCTCACGGCAGCGCTTGGTCGGTCTTACTTGGAAGAAGTTTGCCGTTTCCAGGAAAGTGAAAGCAGTCATAAATTTCTGTAGCCATCAGCTGCTCCGAAAGCAAAATTTGCCAATTTTTTTGAACCAGACATGCACACGTTCCAATCAGAGACAAGTACTGGTATTCTCAGGGAAGACTACATGCACTTGGGGGTGTTCAAATTGTGGTTTTAACTGATTTAATCAATTGAATCAAAGTTTTTTCGGTTAGTCGGTCTTAATTTTAGGTTCAATCACTTAACAGTTAAGTTTTTCAAATTTTGGTTATCGATTAATTCGTTTAAAATCAGTTAATTAAGAATTAATTGAATTAACCAAAATTATTAAATATTTAATATATTATATATATAAAAAACCTTTCACAAACCTATGATAGTAGCCTACAAGTCCCAAGAAACTTCGCACTTCAGTTACACTCTTGGGCGGCTCCCACTCGAGTATCTTGCAATTCTTCTGAGGATTGACTCGAATACCGTCCGCTACTACTATATGCCCAAAAATGAAACCTCAGCTAACCAAAACTCACATTTTCCAAATTTAGTGAAAAGCTGGTGATTTCTAAGAGTCTGAAGAATTATACGAAGATGCTGACATGTTCGTCCTCTGACCTCGAGTATACCATGATGTCATGTCATCAATGAAGACCACCATGAACTGATCCAAGTACAGGTGAAAAACTCAGTTCATGAGATCCATGAACGTCGTCGGGACATTTGTGAGTCCAAACGACATCACAAGGAAATCATAATGACTGTATCTTGTCCTAAACTCCGTCTTTGAGATATCAACTTCTTTAATCTTTAGTTAATAATGCCCAGATCTCAAATCTATCTTGGAGAAAACGCAAGCTCCTTTAAGCTGGTCGAAAAGGTCGTCGATTCTGGGAAGAGGATATCGGTTCTTAATGGTATGTTTATTCAACTGACAATAGTCGATGCATAACCTCATCGACCCATATTTTTTTTAACAAAAAGGACTGGCGCTGCCCAAGGAGAAATATTTGGCTGGATAAACCCTTTCTCAAGCAACTCTTGTAGTTGCGACTTCAATTCCTTTAACTCTATTGGTGCCATGTGGTAAGGAGAATGGACACCAGAGCAGAATCGGGCATTACTCTGATTCCAAACTCTAACTCTTGTCTAGCTGCAAACCAAGTAACTCCTCTAGAAAAGCATCTGGAAAGTCTCTGACAGTTTGAATATCCTCAATTCTCAAAATTTCAACTCGAGTGTCAACAATATGAGCCAAGAAGACCTCACAACCATGATCCAACATCCTTTGTGCCTTAAGAGCCGACACAACCCTTGCACCCTTGTACTTCTCATCGAACATTACGATTTAGATTCCATCTTTTTTTTTCTCAGTTTAAGCCGTTGAAGCTTACACCTAAAGCTTGCGTCGTGCTCCGATAACCAATCCATGTCTAAAATCAGATCAAATTCTTTGAACGGTAGCTCTAAAAGATCAGCTGAAAAGATCTCACCCTGAATCTCTACCAGGCATCTACGATAGACCTTGTCTACTAGGACATCTAATCCTAAAGGGTTGGACACTCGGACTCCTATATTGAGGTTCTCAGTTGGGATGTTTCTCTCTTGAACTAAATCATAGCAGATATAGGAGTGGGCAGATCCATGGTCAATCAAAGCAGTGACTGGAAATGAAAACACAGTAAAAGTACCTAAGATCACTTCAGCTGCATCACAGTCCTCCCTAACTCTGACTGCATACTCGCGAACGACAACTCTAGGCTCGGGACTAGCTCATAATCTAGTTGTTCCCCTAACAGTCTGTCCGTATGCAGAACTCCCACCTCTCTGAACCAAAGGAATTGATTTATGAGTAATGGTTGGGGTCACCTCCGGAGTCTTTGCACAATTTCTCACGAAATGGCCCATAGATTCACAACGATAACAACCCCTGGACCCCTGTCATCATTTTCCTTGATGCCTCTTTCTACAGGTAGGACAAGTGGGATGAGACTATGGCCTCGAAGAACCTCCGGACGGTCCTGCCCTCCTCTGTTCTGGCCCGAGCTAGAGAGGAAGGTACTAGAACTAGGGATGTAAATGAGTCAAGTTGAGCTCGAGTATTACTAAGCTCGACTTGACTCAAAAACTCTGAAACGAAGCTCGACTCGACTCGAAAACTCACGAGCTTAAAATTTTCATGCTTGACTCGAATTCGAAATCCTGAACTGAAGCTCGTGAGCAGCTCAAAATGAAAAAAAAAATCTTAAACTTAACTTGAATGAATCCTCAAACTTGAATTCGAACTTGAACATTAAATACATAAAAACCTTACTGTATTTTTTTTAAAATCAACACATAAATATTAATATTAATATTAATAATAATTTATTTAAAAAAAAATCTTAATATATTATATTTTCGAGTTGCTCATGAGCTTTTCGAGTCGAGTATCAAGTAGCTCGTTTCGGGTTGTTAAGAACTCGAGTCGAGCTCGAGTCAAGTCTATTCGATCCGAGTATTTATCGAGTCTTGATCGAGTCGATCTCGAGTAGCTCGTAATCTGTCTCGTCTCATTTACAGCCCTAATTAGAACGGAGGAAAACCATTTGATTTTTACTATAAACTTACAACTTTTATCTGAACTTCAACTTTGGTTTGAACAAAGATGTTCCTACTTGACTTAATGACTTCGGACAACACAAGTGATATAAGGGAGCTTCAAACCGGAAACAAAGGTCACAATCTAAACATATATACGGCACAAATGATTATGTCTGCTACAAATGGCTTCTCACCGGAGAATTTGCCCCGGAAAAGGTGGCTTCGGACCCGTTTTCAAGGCGTCTGTCAATCCCCATTGGTGAGTTATTGACAATTACTTCAACAATCGGTCTAACATTTGAAAACTCGTTAATCCTCAGGGAACATTGGGCGATGGACTAGAAGTGGCAACAAAGAGATTATCAAGAGGATCAACACAAGGGCTAGTGGATTTCAAAAATGAGCTTATACTTATAGCTAAACTGCAACACACAAACCTTGCGCGGCTCTTAGGCTTTTGCGTTCGAGGGGATGAGAAAATGCTCGTCTTTGAGTACTTGCCTAATAAAAGCTTGGACTCCTCCATCTTTGGTTAGCAACTCTTTAACCTTTTCTCCGAGAGTCAATCGATGCCGGTTTCTATGTTGTGTGTTTTAACCAGTGCTTTATGTCCGACAGATGAATCGAAAAGGAAGCTAAGATTGGGATAAGCTATTTAGCATCATTGAAGGGGTAGCTCAAGGACTACTTTACCTTCACAAATACTATAGACTAAGAATCATTCACAGAGATTTGAAGTTGAGTAACATATTGCTTGACAAAAACATGAACCCCAAGATATCGGATTTTGGGATGGCGAGACTTTACAAAACAAATGAAGCCGGAACAAACACGAACCGGATCGTCGGCACATAGTAGGTGAACGCTTTCTGTTACAACCGAAGTTTTCCCGGTTGTTACAATTGGTATACCAATCATATTACCAAACATGGACATGGTTATTAACTGTAAGTTTGAAGAATTAATGCAGTGGCTACATGTCTCCAGAATATGCAATGGATGGAATCTTCTCCGAAAGATCTGATGTTTATAGTTTCGGAGTTATGGTGTTGGAAGTCGTCAGCGGTCGGAAAAACAGAAGCCGTTTCGAGTTCGACGGTCCACTTAACCTGGTCGGATATGTAAGTTCATATCATATTCATACAGTAATTAGCTTAGCTATGCTTTACCGATATCGAACAAACACCATGTATGATGTAAATGAATGTTGTTTGCAGGCATGGGAACTATGGAAACATGGTGCGGCATTAAAACTAATGGATCCGAGTTTAAGTTTTCCGGTGCATTACTTTGGGTCTGCTATGTGTGGAAGACAATCCGTCCGATCAGCCGACGATGTCCGATGTTATTTCGGTGCTGAACGGAGAAATGCAATTGCCGTTGCCAAAACAACCTGCGTTTTCCACGGAAAGTAGGATTGTGGAAGCAAATGTGGTGGAGAAAGAGATGGAAAATTACTCGGTGAACGGCCTAACCATGGATGCAAGATGATTAAATGAATTAATCTTGGTGTTATTTTGTACTATATATTTTATTGTAATATTGGTCGAATTAAATTAATTCTAAACTCTATTTTTTTCCTAAATTAGTATTTTTTATTTTTTCTTGAGTAAATTACATATTTAGTATCTAAACTATCAATTTTGATCGTGTTAATACTTAAACTTTTAATTTTTTTAAAACCATAGCTAAAGTTTAGCTTTTGTTTCATTTTAGTACCCGTTCGAAGTTTAACGTTAAGTTTTGAAAAATATTGAAAGTTTAGGTTATAAAACGGATAAAAACTGATAGTTTAGATACTAAACACATTAAGTTTTAACGGCGAGATACTAAAATGAAATAAAAACAAAATGTTAGGCATGATTTTAAAAAATTGAAAGTTTAAGAACTAAAATAGAACAAAACTGATAATTTAAGTGCTAAATGCGTAGTTTACCCATTTTTCTTTTAAACTATTATTTTAAGTGATTAATGTTGTCGTCTCTCTCTTTTATTAATCTTCTTTTATTTAATTTTCTTATGATTTAGTTTTAAATAAACATAATCATGTTTTAATTTCTTCCGAACTATAGATGTGTGTTCTTATGATACCGTTGTTCTTCTGCTTTTATGACATCATTTGACATTGAATGTTTATACTTCTAACATTCATGGTAATAGAATATGAAACCTAAAAAATTAACAATAATTTTTTTTACTGTCGAGGTCTTTTAGTTTGTAATTATATCGAATTTAAAATATAAATGATAAAGCATCGATAATTTTTTTAAAATAAAGTAAAACATATGTTTAAAGAGATTTTAATTTTATTTTATTTAGCATTTTGTAAATTTTTATATTAAAATTGTATTTTTATTATTCCTTATATTTTATTTAATGAAAATTTAGTTTATTATTAAAAAATTTAATCATTTATTACGTAAGTTTGAAGTACAATATGTGCTTTTTTAAATAAATTAGTGATGAATATAAAATAATATTTTACAATAAATATTTGTATTTTTTTCGATACTATTCAGAATCTTTAGAGAGAATAGCAAAGCTCTTATTACTATATCGTTTGATTCATACACAATATATGATTCTCACTACTAATAAAAGTAAAATATTAATCTATAATACTAATTTCATAATATTAATATATAATATTTGAAGTAAAAATATATTTATTAAAATATTATTTTTGAAAAAAAAGTAAATAAAATAGAAAGACTTGTATATAAATTTATTAATGAAATATATGAAGAGTTATTTGTTCTCATTCTTATATGATAAACCTAGAGTCCTAGTCCTTGCAAACCACCACCACCACCACCACCACATCACAGCCACCATCTGCAATTAACAAGCACTCCCCTTTTCCCTCTGCCATTAAAAGAAAATAATAAGTAAAAGAACCCTAACCCTAGAAATCCAAAAGGAGAAGGATTAACCGCGTCGGAGTTGGATTTCAAAGCCTGTTGATGCTGAGTTTTGGTGAAGTTGAAGAGGATCGAAGAGAGGGTTCTTCCAATAAATGCTCTCTCTATATCTCCCCTTCAAAGTTGATTCCTTTTTCATGTCTTCTTCAGTCACACCCTCTTTATTCTCTGCACATTCAGGGTTTTCCCAAGCCCTAGACTTTGATCTTTGTTCTATACCTCTCGTTTCTTCTCAAACTTCTCCTTTGTATAAGACATGACTGATTCTAAGGTTTGTCCCCTTCCCCCTTCAATCCCTTTTATATCTGGGTTTTTGTTAAATGTACGTAATATAACTTTCCCCTGAATCACGTGATGGGTTTACTTTTGTTTCCTTGTTAAGCACTTAAAAGTTTGGTACTTTAGAGAAATAAAGTTTTTTGAATTGTTTGATGATTGGTTGCTGGGTTTACCCACATAGCAATTATGATTTGGTTGGAATTGATTGTTTATGAATGATGAAAACGAGGTTGTCTTTTCCTTTTTATATGACAAGCCTTAATATGTTCCAGTTATGCTTGAACCATGACTTGCCTTGGCTTCTAATCAGAACTGTGGCCCCATTGTTTTCCTTGGTTTGAACAGGTATTTGTTTTCGGATCCTTCACCGAAGAAGAAACCAGGTCATTGCTGTCGAAGCAGTCCCCCGGAAAATCTGAAAAGCCTGTGGAAAAGAAGGAATTGCAATTTGGTTCTTTCGATTTTTCAGATGGAGGATCTTTGGGGAGTACCAATGGTAATTTAAGCAACAAGCCAAGTTCTATGAATGGACCAGTTGAATCTTTATCCTCAAGTTCTCTATTTGAGGGTGTAAAAAGTAGAAAAACAACTACAGATTGTTCCTCGAGTGCACTTCAAACTCCAAAAGAAATTCTAAATGCTAAGAGTTCCAGAAGTAACTGTATCCTCAACAATGGCATAAAACGGCTGAATGCAGAAGGCATTGATTTAACTCAACTGCAATTATCCAAAAATAAATGTGGTCCCTTGAATGATTCTCAGAGTTCGAAATTTTATGTCCTTGAGAGTGGAGTTATAGAGGGTGGAGATCAAAATGGGAATGAGATGAATGATGTTTTGTTAGGAAGCCCTGTTCAAGGAGACATTTCAAAAGAAGCCGAGGATCCAATTAAACTTGTTAAAAACTTATCACCCCGTGGCTTGATTAACTCTGGGAATTTATGCTTTCTCAATGCCACTTTACAGGCTCTCCTATACTGTTCTCCTTTTGTTCAGCTCTTACAGCAACTTAGACTTCGTAATATACCCAAGGTGTGTTGTATGCTTGTGTTGTTTCCTTGAACTTATGTTCTAATAAATGATCATCTCAAGGTGACTAAATATGAACTTGTCAATAGATTAACCAACTGACGCTTTTGTTTGGTTTTGATTTGATAGGTTGGCTATCCAATATTAACTTCTTTTGCTGAGTTTATATCCGACTTTAATGTGCCACCCACCGATCCTAATTTGAAGAGAAAGGATACAACGGCCCTTGAGATTGGTAGACCATTCAGTCCTGTCATGTTTGAATCTGTCCTTAAAAGCTTTACTCCAGATGTGCCAAATAGCATATCTGGTAGGCCAAGGTTTGTCTGCTTTCTATATTAGTATTATTACTATATTTATATATGCTTGTCCTGGTCCTCTTGATTTCTTTCTAACCCTTTCCAAAATGCTATAACTGTTTAAAAGAAATTATGATTGATTTAAAATTTAAATGTTTGTATATTCTTGAAATCAGTATGATAACTATTAACTATGTACCATATTTAATGAAATAACATTGTGATAATTTTTGTTAATCATATCAGGCAGGAAGATGCTCAGGAATTTCTAAGTTTTATCATGGATCAAATGCATGATGAATTGGTTAAGCTTCAAGGGCAGTCCGATAGCTCAAATGGGGTCAGGTCGTCACTAGTTTCTTCTGCAGAAGATGATGAATGGGAGACTGTTGGACCAAAAAACAAATCTGCTGTCACAAGAACTCAAAGCTTCCTTCCATCCGAGTTAAGTGATATTTTTGGAGGACAGTTGAGAAGTGTGGTGAAGGCTAAAGGTAAGGACATTTACTTCGGTTGCAAAGCATATTGGATTATATGAAAGCAGGCAATTCATATGGTTATTTGTTTGGTTACATATTTTTATGGGTTTTGCAAACCCGTGTTTCTTATTTTTTTTTTACTGTACAACTGCAGCCACCAGAAACTTACTTAAAAAAAGATAAAACACTAACATAGTGAAGTCACCTAGATATTTACAGCAATTTATGCATGTTAGATTCGATCTGTGGACAAAGTGGAAATACTATACAAATTCAAACTTGGTTGTCTTCATCTTTCATATCCAGATGTTAGCTTTGTTTCTTGGGTGGATTTTCTATCCTGCTCGGTGGACATGGTACTATTTAATGACATTGTAATCTTCTCTTTTTCTTAATTTGCCTATTGGGGCAGGAAATAAACCTTCTGCTACTGTTCAACCATATCTATTGCTCCACCTTGATATACATCCTGATGCTGTTCATACTATTGAGGATGCACTTCATTTGTTCTCAGCACCAGAATATCTAGAGGGTTACCGTGCATCAACAGCCGGGAAGGTATTTATTTCTTTTAATTGTTTCCTTTTGTTGTTGGCTACTATATCCTACGTTCCTTTTATAAATCTTAAGATTGTTTGTTTTTGTTATATGTTTCATCCTTTCCTGTATGTGTTTATGATAAATTGGATTTTCTTGTGTTCATATCCATCAGGCTGATGTTGTTGCTGCCAAAAAATCTGTCAAGATACAGACACTTTCGAAGATAATGATTTTGCACCTGATGCGTTTTAGCTATGGAAGCCAGGGGAGTACCAAGCTGCATAAGCCTGTACACTTCCCACTTGAGCTGACACTGGGTCGGGAGCTACTTTTTTTCTCCATCCACCGAGGTAATACTTCTCTTCATTCAATAGTTTAAGTACGTGTGCATTGCTTCTTTTCGCATTTGAAAATTCACATCGTGAATTACAAATTGACTTTTAATCATCTCTTACCGAAGTATCTGCTACAATGATGCGTACATGTTTATTTTTTTTGCCACCTGCTTTGTTGGCAATCCAATGCTATATATATTTAACCTTTATTTCTGGACTTCAGGGCCGGAAATATGAACTTGTTGCTACGATAACCCATCATGGAAGAGATCCCTCCAGGGGGCATTATACTGCTGATGCTCGTTATCCCAATGGCCAATGGCTGCGCTTCGATGATGCCTCTGTCACTGCCATTGGGACAAGCAAGGTGTTACATGACCATGCATATGTTCTCTTTTATAAACAAACATAGAAGCTGTCATTTTAGACCTCTTCAGTGAATATTCAACCTCTGATTTTCCCTTCCCTTCCCTTTAACCGCTGGTCACGCCTTATCTTCAAATGGAGATTTTGACTGCAACTGATATATATATATATATATATAAGACGTTCTTAAGTAGTGATTTTGTTTTGTTTGTTTTCTTATTATCATGAGTTAAGAACAGTCCTATTAGGTATGGAGGAATTATGCATGTATACAAAACATAGAACATACGCTATTGTATTCTTGTGTATACATGTTATATTTATTATAAGGTATGCTTTTGGAGAATACCCTTCCGTATTTATTTTTCTTTAATGTTTCCAATAATAAATTTATACTGCCTTTATTTCATCTCACTCAACTTTAATCTGCTAAAAACTAAGGAGAGCTGCGTACAGAAGTTCATTCCAAGTATCTGCAAGGCCAGCCACACACCAATGGGTGCAATCCATCCCTCTAAAGGCATTATAAGAGCTAGGGTGCGCTTCTTTTCTCAGTTGAGACAATGCTGTGATGTCCAACAAATGAACTGGCTTCTTTATACCACTTAGCACATCTTTAACCACATATACTGCCTCAGGCAACCCCACTGGATAAACTGTTCCGTTGAATGGTTTCGTCTCCTTCAAGCAATTTGTCACCCCCGGTTCGCCCCAGTCCGAACCACTGAAACATAGTTTCATATGAAAATAGTCAGTCAAACAAGTGTTCGGATATGACCGAAGTCGAGTAACATTGGCTAATAAAAATTTCAAAGGGGAAAAGGTAGTCTCACTGGTAGTGTGAAGGAGAGATCCCTTGAAATATAACTTTGGTTTTATCAGTTTCCACATCTGAATCAACCCATTTAGCCCATGTTGTCAAGGCTGCCTTAAATGCAGTCATACGATCCATGTCTTTCACAATCTTCCCTTCCACTTTAATATAATCCCACCTGCAATTTAACAACACACATTCACAAAATATGTTTTAGTTCCTGTTGTTAATGCTCGTTAATTATGCTCGAGTTTCGATGCAAAGGCCATTACGGTTGCTTCGGTCCTCTGCGGTACCACCATAGCCAAGTGTTGAAAACTAAAACATCAACGTTCTTCCATAGATTCGCATTCCTCATTGAGTTCAGATTCAGAACTCTTCCGATCTTCTCCTCGTCAACGTCCACCAAGTACAGTGAATGAAACAGCATCACCGACACATTGTAATCCTGACAAATCAATGAATCACGTGAAACATTATTTTAATCACAGATTCTTGCATAGTTAATCTACTTGTCAGATTCTTATTGCAGGTTACCTGGAATTCAACGGAAGAAATGGTGGTGGTGTTCAACTTTTGTCTGATTATGTTGGAATTTGGCACTGCAGCATGAAGCATGCATATCAACGATTGCCAGATGTTGAGACTTAGAGAGTCCCCAATAAACATTATCTTTTTCCCATTGAATCTCTTCAAAAATGACAGTCCATCAAATCTGTTGGAATTGCAAAGGGGAAACTATTTAATTTATGGATTGTTGTATGTGAATGAGAGCACATGATCTGATGTCGGTGCATTTCAAATCCCAGAATCATTGGGGTATGCATCACAGAGAGCGATCATGTATACAAGATATACTGTGTGCATGTATTCAACACTCGTATCTGAATTAGATTAACTCAGAACAACCCACAGAGCACTCATGTATACAAGATATACTATTTGCATGTATTCAACACTCGTATCTGAATTAGATTAACTTGGAACAACACAGAGCACTCATGTATACGAGATATACGGGTGCGTTCGACACTCGAATTGAAATTCGAGTAAACTTAGAATAAGATGTAGAGAGCAAAGTACCTCGGCAACTGGCAATTGCTCGGCTGCCATCTATATTTAAGGTAGAAAAGATCGAGGCGGCCATACTTGAGGCAATCGAATTCCTTGCGGATAGAAGGACATGCCGATGAGTTGTACAGAGGAAAAGACTCATCATACACCCATTTCCCTTGGTACATATTGCACTTCGTCTCTTCTTTTCTCAAATCAAAGCTATTGCCATCAGCAGATAACCATGAGAAGATGACGACAAAGGTGGCAATAGCTTTGAAAAATCCCATTTTGAAAATGAGGAATGAATGATATGATGATGATGGGAGATCGAGAGAGGACGATGAGTATATAAAGGGGACAAATACAATGATAGTGGGGGTGTTACTTATACCAGCAAAAAGGCAAGTTTTTTTTTTTTTTAAATTCTGCAGAAAGGTTTAACTTTGCATGGGAGATGCTGATTGATTAGGGATAAAGACAGGGAGGATTGCATTTATCTATTTAGCTAAAGATGCTTATGTTTTCACATGGTGAACAACTCAGTGAGTCAACGCATAAATTGCAGGTTAACGTTCAAAAACGTATACTCCCATAAGAAAATAAAACGTATGTTTTGGAGTTACTTTGGATTTTGGTGGAACCAAACCACTAAATGCTTTTTACTGAGTGGTGGAATCATCTCTCTGAAAATATTGCTTCAATTGGGAAAGTTCTTATCTTCTTGTTGAAACGTTGACATCAATGACTTGGAAGAGAATGATATTTATATTTACGGTTCAATGTTTAAAATTTGTGATTAAAATGAATTCATCGAGCCGTATCAATAATAAAAGAAAATGTTATCCCTTTTAGACGCCTCGAGTTTAAATAACTGCATCTACAAAGTATGTATTTTTTATGATTAAAAACAATCATGAACATACATTACATTGTAATCACCCAAACTTGGAAAAAATTGATATTAAATTAAAAAAAACATTAGCCTGCTTCTGTAAATGAAATTTGACATGAAATATTCATAATTCAAACAACCTTAAAACAAAAAAGAAAGCCTAAATATAACATAATCATAAGGGTATGAAAATTTTCAGGGTACAAAGCTTACGCTTTCATTTTCCTTCTTTTATCATCTGATTCTTGGTCGTTTCCAATGATGTTTTGTTTCTTGGTCGTGTTCATGTAAGGTCTGATAACCCATTCGACCTGAGCTTCACTCTGCTCCATTGTTCCTAATTTTACCCGCAACATGAGCAAGTCGGTTGAATTTAAACCGCCATACAAAGCACCCAATGATTTCGTCGACATGGCATGACACTTACCTGATAAAGCCGCAATTCAAACCTCGGGCCAATTTCCTTTAACTCGACTGATTTTGGACCTCCAGGTTTCTCGTAGATGTGATGCCTGCATGTTTACATGTTATCAATGAGTGAAGAGTGAACATTTCGTAACATTGAAACAAGAGGCAGAACAATCTATGTCATGATCATATTATCCACCGACTCACTTCAAGGTTTCAACAAGTAATCGACCGATTTTATCGCCGGTTAATGATTTCAGTATCTCCCTTTTAAAGCTAATGAATGCAACAAAATTTACAAGAGAAACAACCTGAATGAAATATAGTCGGACCGATTAGCGAAAGTCACAATACGTTTTGTGTCAGGCTTTGGCACAGGGAATAAATGTTTTAAAATGTTCGCTGTCCTTTCACCGAGCTGGCAAAATAAATCGAAAAAGAATGTCACCCATAAGGATCTTTGAGCACAAACCAGGCTTCGTTACTTAACCAGCAATTAGACACAAGTGGATATATGCAAAACCATTAAAAAGAAATAACCCCAAAAAGTTCAGGAATGCACATATATACAATGTACCCAACTGCATCATATACTTCGTAAATATGATGCATATAAAGTGATAAGAATACCTTGGTTTTAAAATTGTCAAGAATCAAATGTGGGTAAGCTTCAGGCATTGTTCCCATGGCTTTCTTGTCCTTAATGTCATGTCTTGTAACCTAGAAGGAAATATTAGATTAAGAAAACAGGCATAGAAATAGAAGACGAAGTAAACGTCTGCATAGGCTAGAGTCATCAAATACTTGCCACATTGAGTAAACCAAAGTATGCAGTGGGACCGAAAGGTAGATGACTTATGATCAAACCGTCTGGTACACCCCGATGTTCATGAACCAAAATAACATCAGTAAATTCATGTGCTCGGCAACTTTCAATAATTTCAGATATAACCTGCAAATAAGAAAAAAGAGGGGGTGTATAGATAATCACTTTCTAAATCTCACTAGAAACCCAGCTTGATATCAAATAAGTAAATAAATTTGTGTTAAATAAGGGTGTTGGTGTTCATCATGTGGAGGAAAGAGTAGCTCCAAAGATTGCCAAGACAAAATTGCATCAAGAAGTCTAATGGTGCAATGGTTCAAGGAAAAGCTCAGTTAAAGGGAATGTTCAACTTAAACACTGAACACGACTTTAGCCAAGTTGCTGACAATAGAACTTGTATTTTATATCCTCCACATCAAGAACAAACCCTTGCCAACAATTCAACACAAGCATCATAGCAATAAGACAACCAATAGGAACCCAAGGAAGAAAGCATAGATGGATAAACAATGCAATGCCGCACTCACCTGACTACCACGATTCATTCGCTCTGCATTGGGAAAGACGAACTTCAATTCCTACAAGGAGCACTCCATAGGAAACCACATCAGTGATTAAACTCAGACGCAAAGTATCAAGTAAAAATGGTATTCATCACCAAAATAGACAAACCAACCTTAACAAACTGTACAAGAGGAGCACTTGGATCCCGAGATGTTGTCAGCAAAATCTTAGGGTCTCGTACGGTTGCATTTGCATACTCATCATCAATATGAGACTTGGGAACTAAAAATCCACCAAAATTAAACAAGTATATATCAACACCAATCCCCAAAAAAAGGCCAAAGAATACGAAATGGTCCCCCCCTTATCTAAGAGCATAACAAAAGTTGTATAAAAAGTTAACAAAATAAAAATAAACGTTCCCGGCGGTGTAATCATCTTCAAGGTCAATTTCTTGGCGAAGCGCAGCCTCCTCATTGCGGAGCTCAGTCGGAATGGGTTTTCCCTCTACAACGAAACAAAATAAAAAAAATGAAAAATTGAAATTAAATTATGATAAAATAAAATAGAAAGTTTAATAGTACCATCAAGGGCTTCTTTGATCTTGCGTTTCTTCTCATAAAACAAACGCTCTTTGCCTTCCAAGCTCTTCCTGTACAAATACTCTCTCCTCAATCGTATATTTCTTCTCAACATTTTTTGTCATGACTCAGGAAGCAGAATTGGAAACTGATGAGCAGAAAAGGGGAAACAAATTAGAAACTGATGAGGAGAAAGGGGGAAACACGGGGAAATTAGGGATTATGATTAGGAATTTAGATGAGGAGTATATGGATGGGGCGGAGATGTTACCTTATGAGCAAAGGGCCAAGTGTGGGCTGCTGAAGCAAGAAACAGAGACCAAGTGCCTATTGGACCAGGAGGTGACGAGTCCAATAACCTGCAGTCAACAAATGAAAACAGAAACAGTTAAGGGAATATAAGCTGTTAGAGAAATTACAGCTGGCAATCTGTTATGAACTAATTACTATAAAAATTCAGTTGTAATGAGATGAAAATTATCAATGAAATGATGATGAATTCTGTTTTCTCTATTCTATTCTCTCTATCTTCTTAATCCTTTCTTCTTTTGTGAGCGTTTCATCACAATTGGTAATAAGAGCAAGGTCATTTTGATCCAAAAATACTAATTTTTTTTTCAAGCTGGGTAAGACACGGAAATTACAGCAGATGGCTCTCAATGATCAGCCGCCGATCATTCCTGCTGATCCATCAGAGTCTTCTGAGGGGGAGGCAGTTCCAACTTGGTGGCTTACTCAACAAAGTGCTTGGGAGCAGAGGATGCAATTACTGGAGTCCACAACAACTGATACGAAAAACATGCTTCAACAACTATTAGGGTTGATGTAGAAGACTGGGACTGAATCTGGACAATCTACTCCTGCAGAACGACCACAAGCACCCACAACTCAGATCAAGGATGCAACTAAAATTCCATTACAAGTTACAGTCATTGATGATAAGGAGAAATACTCATTTCAACTAGGACAACCGGGAATCCTAGCATCTAAGCCTACTTTGCCACAGGATGTTAATCAATCAAGTCATGATGTTTTTAAGATGAAAGCAATTGCAAATACAATGGAATCAGGGGAGCAGTCTATTAGTAAAGGTCATCAATTCATGGAAAAACATTCCAGCAATAACAACACTGGTATGTTTCTTCCAAAACCGAAAATAGAGCTTCAGTTTTTTGATGGAACAAATCCTAGGAGTTGGATTAGAAAGTGTGAGAAATATTTTTCTATTTTTGTTGTTCCTGAATTACAGAAGTTAGAAATAGCTTCTATGTACTTCACTGGCAAGGCTGAAGTATGGTTTGATGGATACATTATGAAGAAAAGTAGAGTTACTTGGCAGGAGTTTGTTTCTGATATGTGTTATCGTTTTGCTGCTAAAGGATATCTTGATGTTATTGATGAATTTAATAAACTGACTCAAATATCTTATGTAGAAGAGTATGAAGCTCAATTTGAGGAACTTCAGCCTTATCTCCTCAGATTAATCCTGAATTAGGAGAGGAATATTTTGTTTCTAGTTTTTTGAGTGGTCTTAAGGAGGAATTGAAACATAAGGTGAAGGTTTTGGAACCAACAACTGTAGCTGAAGCTGTTAGAAAATCAAAACTTTATGAGCTTTCAATGGAAGTGGAAAGTAAAAGATTTAGAAGTATTTCCATACCAATGCTGCCAGGAAATTCTACTAGTTCCAGAATATCTAATCCTTCAGTGAGTTCACCTTTGAAAACCAGTTCAGGGCTCACTCCAAACAGACAACAACTACTGGAATATAGAAGGGCCAATAATTTATGCTATAAATGTGGTGACAAGTTTACTCCAGGACATCACTGCAAATTGAAACAATTGAATTCTATGGAAGAAGTGGAAGAGCAAGAGGAGCCTGAAGAGTTACAAGCAGCCCAAATTAATATTGATAAAGTACCATTAGATGAAAAAGATCCTGAGATTTTTATGAATGCAATTACTGGCAGTTCATGAAGTAGTACCTTGAGGATTCAAGGATTCATTAAAGGGAAACCACTCAGTATATTAATTGATAGTGACAGTACTCACAGTTTTGTCACTAATAGGTGGGCTAAAGAAGGGCTGGAATTGGAGGAAACTAATCCCTTAGTTATCACAATAGCTAATGGTGATAAACTTTATAGTACAACAAAGAGTAAACAACTGAGTTGGGAGATGCAAGATTTTTTTTTTGTATATGATTTTAGGGTTTTTCCCCTTGGAGGCAGTGATATGGTGCTAGGAGTGGATTGGATGAAGAAGTACAGTCCAGTGTTAATGGATTTTAACAACATGACTCTTAGTTTTAAAATGGTTGACCAAGAGATTGTGTTGAGATGAGGGTTGCACACTACTGCAATGAAAATAATTTCAGGCAACAAAATACATAAATTGATGACTAAAAATCCTGAAGCAGTAGGGGAGATTTATATGTTGAATGCAGAGGTTAGCCATAATGAAATTCCTCCTACAATTCAAGCAGTAATTGCTGATTACAAAGATGTATTTGAGGAACCTACTGGAATGCCTCCAATAAGGAAGCATGATCATTCTATTATTTTAAAGTCAGGAATTGAGGCAGTTAATGTCAGACCTTACAGAATGCCTTATCATCAAAAATCAGAGGTTGAGAAACAGGTGGCTGAAATGTTGGCAGCATCAATTATTCAAACTAGCAAAAGTCCTTTTGCTTCACCTTGTTTGTTAGTTAAAAAGAAAGATGGAAGCTGGAGAATGTGCATTGATTACAGACAGTTAAATGCTTTAACTGTTAAGAACAAATTTCCTATACCTGTGGTGGATGATCTCTTGGATGAACTAGTTGGAGCTAAGTTTTTTTTCTAAACTGGATTTAAGATCTGGATACTGGCAGATTAGGATCAAGCCTGAAGACATTCCAAAAACAGCCTTCAGGACACACCATGGTCATTTTGAATTCAAGGAAATGCCCTTTGGCTTAACTAATGCACCAGCTACTTTTCAAGCACTTATGAATGATTTATTTGGAGTTTATCTCAGGAAATTTGTCCTAGTATTCTTTAATGATATTTTAATCTACAGCCCTGATTTACATAGTCATGCACAACAGTTGAGAACTGTGTTGGATATTCTAAGGCAGAATAAGCTTTTTGCTAAGAGAAATTGTTGAACTATGTTTCGATATAACAATTTAAGGCAAAATGGTTTTTGGACTTGAATTGAATTTACAAAATATTTTTGGACTTAATTGAATTTATTCAAAGTTTTTAAAAGGTTTCAAAAATAATTCAAAATCAATTAAAATTCGGATTTGAGCCAAAAATATTTTAAGGGGTTTCAAGATTGCCCAGGGGGTATAGATTCCCCCCCAGGGGGTACAGATACCCCGGGTACAGATACCCCCCAGGGGGTACAGATTCCCCCCTGCAGGTTTTTGGCTTCAAGAAAACAGAATGTCCAGGGGGTACCGATTCCCCCCCAGGGGGTACCGATTCCCCCCCTGTTCAACAGCCCAACGATCATAATATTTGAATATTATGAAGGGGTATCGATTCCCTATGAAGGGGTACCGATTCCCTCCATTCTGGGCAACCTTTTTGAGTAGAAAAATCATTCCCAAACGGCTTCAAAACATCCCCAACGGCTATATACGACTTCAAACTCATTCCAATCTATAAATACAAGCTGAGGACACTTGAAGAAGTAAGAGAACAACTATCCAAGCAATCAAACACAAGAGAAGAGTTTTTCAATCTTATTTCATCTTTCTCTTGTAAATATTTTGTTCTTGTGAGCTCAATCTTGTAAACACCTACCTTAGAGAGGTTTTCTTGTTTAGATTTCTTATCCTTTTGTAAAGGGGAAAGGTTCTAGCTTAGCCCGTATAAAAGCTAGGGAAAAGTTCTAGTTTAACCCGGAAAAACTAGGGAGTTGTAAGGTTATCTCTTTGTCCTCAAAAGAAAGAACAAATTAGTGAATTTGTTAGAAAATCCTTGGTGAGGAGCTAAGGTAGTGGATGTAGACTTTGATTGAGAAAGTCGAACCACTATAAATCGCTATGCAATTCTCTATCTTTCAATCTCCTTACTCCATAAACACAAAACCGTTCCGGTTGTTGATTCGAGCTTCCGAAAATCCCAACAATTGGCATCAGAGCCTAACTCGTTAAGAAGGTTTAACCACCTTGAGACGATCCTCGAAGAAGCTCTACCAAATCTCGACACAACCGAGAAGATGGCTTCTACCTCCGGCTCGTTCCACATGGAAGACTCCCTACCAACCGACAAACCTCCATACTTCAATGGAGTCAACTATCATCATTGGAAGAAATTAATGAAAGTATTCATCCAATCCAATGATCTTGATGCATGGGAGATAATCGAGAACGGCTACTCTTCTCCAAAGAAGAAGGAGAAGAAGATGAGTGACAAAGAACGGAAGAAAGCTCAACTTAATGCCAAGGCCATGCACATGTTGTTTTGTGCATTTGATCATGAAATCTATGAAGGGGTTTCTTCATGTTCAAGTGCCAAGGAGCTTTGGAATAAGCTTGAGGAAATCCATGGAAACAAGAAAGAAGAACCAATAAAGGTGGTGTCTCTAATGGCTTGTGAAGAGCCCGATGTATCTTCTAACTCAAATGAATTTAATTCATATACGTTTGATGAGTTACAAGATGCTTTTAATAGGTTATATTCGGAGTTTGAGACCATGAACTCCAAATATAAGAAAATGATTTCAAAATTTAAAATCGAAAATGATTTTCTTTTGAAAACAAAAATAGATTTTGAAAGCCAAAATGAAATTTTGAAAAAGGATTTAGAGCTTTCAAAAATAAAAATTGAAAGTTTTGAAAAAGAAAATTTTGATTTAAAAGTTAAGCTTGAATGCTTAACAAAAGAAAAAGAAATCATTTTAAATAATTCATTTAGTTCAATAATGACAATATGCTCACATTGTCATTATCATGGTCATAAGGAACATACTTGTCCTTTGAAGAAAGGAAAACGTTTTAAAATTAGGCAAGTATGGGTTCCAAAAGGAACAAGGGGCATTGAAACTAACGTCCAAGGATCCAAAGCAATTTGGATACCAAAATCGAAATGAATGTCTCTTGTAGGTGTGTGGGAGCAATTGTGATGAAAATAATGATATTCAAGATGCTCTAGCCACAGATGAAAAAGGAATGGGTAACCTCTAAGCTTAATGCTTTTAATTTTGGTTATTTGGTTGCTCATTGATTTTAAGCATGCATGAGTTTTGGTTTTAAATGATTATGCATCATTGTTTTAATCTCATGTATGTTGAAAAGATGATTATGATGAACATTTTAAAGTTATATTAATTTTTAAGAATTTTAGTTCATCATAATAAAATTTTGGTCAAAATTGGTTTTAATGCAAATGATATATCTCTAACAATTGATATCAATTTTTCAAATAATTTAATTTTACAAATTTTAAAATTTTGACCTAAATTTAAATGATTATGCATGTGGTTTAAATGAAAATGATATCTCTTTAACAATTGATATCAATTTTTTTAATGCATAACATTTTTGGAAAACTTTATGCAAATGCACTTAATTTTAACAATTGATATTTATATCAAATTTCAACAATTGGTATTGCATAAAGTATTTTAGTCTTGGATAAATTGAATTTCATGTGCTACTAACTTGTTTGTTATTCTTTGTTGAAATTCAATTTTGTTTAAGTGTCAAGTTCTTAAAAGCTAAATTTTGATTGGAATGCATTTATTAAGGGGGAGCTTTTGATTTTTCAAATGATTTTAAATGTAAAATTTACTGCTTACTCTCCAAAGTTATTTTGAACATCAAAGATTGAATTATTTTTAATATAACAAAAAGGGGGAGAAGTTTGGTTTGAAAAATTCAATTTCTTAATAAAAAATTCAATTTCTTAATGAAAAAGGGGGAGCTTAACATTTTCATATGTTTTCCAACAACTAGGATCTTTTTCATTAAACATTTTATTAAGGGGGAGTTTTGCCAAAAACAATTTTTCAAATGTTTTGTTATATCAAAAAGGGGGAGATTGTTGAACTATGTTTCGATATAACAATTTAAGGCAAAATGGTTTTTGGACTTGAATTGAATTTACAAAATGTTTTTGGACTTAATTGAATTTATTCAAAGTTTTTAAAAGGTTTCAAAAATAATTCAAAATCAATTAAAATTCAGATTTGAGCTAAAAATATTTTAAGGGGTTTCAAGATTGCCCAGGGGGTATAGATTCCCCCCCAGGGGGTACAGATACCGCGGGTACAGATACCCCCCAGGGGGTACAGATTCCCCCCTGCAGGTTTTTGGCTTCAAGAAAACAGAATGTCCAGGGGGTACCGATTCCCCCACAGGGGGTACCGATTCCCCCCCTGTTCAACAGCCCAACGGTCATAATATTTGAATATTATGAAGGGGTATCGATTCCCTATGAAGGGGTACCGATTCCCTCCATTCTGGGCAACCTTTTTGAGTAGAAAAATCATTCCCAAACGGCTTCAAAACATCCCCAACGGCTATATACGACTTCAAACTCATTCCAATCTATAAATACAAGCTGAGGACACTTGAAGAAGTAAGAGAACAACTATCCAAGCAATCAAACACAAGAGAAGAGTTTTTCAATCTTATTTCATCTTTCTCTTGTAAATATTTTGTTCTTGTGAGCTCAATCTTGTAAACACCTACCTTAGAGAGGTTTTCTTGTTTAGATTTCTTATCCTTTTGTAAAGGGGAAATGTTCTAGCTTAGCCCGTATAAAAGCTAGGGAAAGGTTCTAGTTTAACCCGGAAAAACTAGGGAGTTGTAAGGTTATCTCTTTGTCCTCAAAAGAAAGAACAAATTAGTGAATTTGTTAGAAAATCCTTGGTGAGGAGCTAAGGTAGTGGATGTAGACTTTGATTGAGAAAGTCGAACCACTATAAATCGCTGTGCAATTCTCTATCTTTCAATCTCCTTACTCCATAAACACAAAACCGTTCCGACCCCTCTTTGCAAACCGTTCCGGTTGTTGATTCGAGCTTCTGAAAATCCCAACAGAAATAAATGTTTCTTTGGCCAATCAGAGGTCGAGTACCTTGGTCATACTATCTCTCCACAGGGAGTATCTACAGATTCCTCCAAAGGTCAAGCTATTCAGGAATGGTCCATTCCAAGGAATTTGAAATCTTTTAGGGGTTTTTTGGGCCTCACTGGTTATTACAGGAAATTTATTAGGGGTTATGGGGAAATCAGTAAACCCCTCACTACTATTTTGAAAAAGGACCAGTTTTTTTGGTCTGAGGAGGCTAGGGAGGCATTTATTAAACTTAAAGAGACTATGTGTAGGGCTCCTGTGCTAGCTTTACCAGATTTTACAAAGCAATTTTGTTTGGAAATTGATGCCAGTTCTAAGGGTATAGGTGCAGTTCTATCCCAAGAGGGCAGACCAATTGCTTACCTCAGTAGGGCTTTGGGACCAAAACAGATTGATTTGTCTATCTATGAGAATGAGTATCTAGCAATATTAATGGCTATTTCTAAATGGAGGCATTCTCTTGAAGGGAGTCCATTTATTATTAAAACAAATCATGAATCTTTAAAGCATTTGTTAGAACAGAAGATCAGTACTACCATTCAGAATAAGGGTCTAACAAAATTGCTAGGACTGGATTACTCAATTCAGTTTCGAAAAGGAAAACATAACAGAGCTAATGATGCTTTATCTAGACAGTTTGAAGACAAATCAGAATTAAATCAGTTATCTGCTATAATTGTTATTCCTGCTTGGGTACATGAGGTGGAAAACAATTATGAGCAGGATTCTTTGGCAAAGGATTTAATTCCTGAGCTGCTCCTTGATAATAATTGTATAGCATATTGGTCTTATTCTAAGGGTGTACTGAGATACAAAGGTAAAGTTTATGTTGGTGAGACAAGTGGTTTAAGAAATCATATCCTTTCTATACTTCATGATTCACCACAGGGTGGCCATTCTGGGATACAAGCTACTTATTATAGACTGAAATTGTATTTTTATTGGAAAGGAATGAAGACATTGGTTAAACAGTATGTGCAACAATGTGATGATTGTCAGAGAATAAAAAATGAACATGTTTTACAGCCTGGGTTATTACAACCTTTACCTATTCCACAACATGCTTGGGAGTTTATTACTATGGACTTTATTGAAGGGATGCCCACTTCTAGTAGATTCAATTCTATTTTGGTGATAATTGATAAATTCACCAAATATGGGCATTTTTTTACCTCTGCTTCATCCTTTTACAGCTTATGAGGTTGCTCAAATCTACTTGGAACAGGTCTACAAACTTCATGGTCAGCCTAAAGTTGCTCTTTCTGATAGAGATAGAAATTTTACTAGTGCCTTCTGGAAGGAATTATTAAAGTTATTGTGCACTACAACACTATTTACTACTGCCTATCATCCTCAAACGGATGGTCAAACCGAGAGACTTAACCAATATCTTGAGCAGTATCTAAGGGGGATGTGTGTTTTAAAACCAAGTTCCTGGGCTAAGTGGTTATCCCACGCAGAATGGTGGTATAACACTAGTTTTCATACAACATTGGGTACAACACCTTTTCATGCCCTATATGGCTATACACCTCCAACAATAACTTGATCCAGTGAGACAAGGGTGGCTGATGTACAACAGTTTATGCAGGAAAGGGATAATATCAATAGCATACTTTTAGAACAACTTACTAAAGCACAACATCGCATGAAATATTATGCAGATAGAAATCGAAGTGACAGGGAATTTCAGGAAGGGGAGGAGGTTTACCTTAAGCTTCAGCCTTATAAATATACTTCCTTAGCTTTACACAGAAATTTGAAACTGTCTGCTCGATACTATGGTCCCTACAAGATACGGAAACGAATTGGTTCAGTCGCATACCAATTAGAATTACCAGTTCATTCGAAACTTCACCCGGTATTTCATATTAGCATTTTGAAAAGAAAAATTGGGGATAGAAGTGTAGCTTCACGAGACCCACCTGAACTCATTGCTGATGGACAGCTTTGGGTTTATCCTGTAATTGTGTTGGATAAGCGAGTTATCAAAAGAAACAATAAGGCAGTGACTCAATTGTTGATTCAGTGGTCGAATTTAGGGATTAAGAATACTATATGGGAGGATTTTACGGTGCTACGTTCCCAATTTCCTGATTTTGATCCTTGGGGACAAGCATCCACTGCAGTTGGGGGTATTGTCATGACCCAGGAGGCAGAATTGGAAACTGATGAGCAGAAAAGGGGAAACAAATTAGAAACTGATGAGGAGAAAGGGGGAAATACGGGGAAATTAGGGATTATGATTGGGAATTTAGATGAGGAGTATATGGATGGGGCGGAGATGTTACCTGATGAGCAAAGGGCCAAGTGTGGGCTGCTGAAGCAAGAAACAAAGACCAAGTGCCTATTGGACCAGGAGGTGACGAGCCCAATAAACTGCAATCAACAAATGAAAACAGAAACGGTTAAGGGAATATAAGTTGTTAGAGAAATTACATCTGGCAATCTGTTATGAACTAATTCCTATAAAAATTCAGTTGTAATGAGAAGAAAATTATCAATGAAATGATGATGAATTCTGTTTTCTCTATTGTATTCTCTCTATCTTCTTAATCCTTTCTTCTTTTGTGAGCGTTTCATCACATTTTTTTATTTAGTTTTTGAGCGCAGCGACTGCCAACCAGATTTTGCAGGGCTTTGTCTTCTAAGGGTTTAGGGTTTTCTCGGTAGATGGTCGACGAAAAACAAATTTCACAGCGACATTTAAAACGACGACGTTGACCACTTTATTAGGCAGCATGCTGATTTGCTTTTGCTCTAAGAATAGGCTGAGTACCTTTGTAAAATTTGGGCCTTAAAACAAGAAAAAATTAGGATAAACAATATTTATAATCACTTAATTATTGTACCTTTTTCACTTTGATCACCCATATTTTACTTTTATCAATCCAATCCTCTCACTATTTAATGTTGTTGACCAAGCCACTTACCGTTAAAAAATACTCATTTAATCCCGGTTACTTATGCATTCTATCAATTTAGTCTTAATTTTAATTTAATTTAATAAATTTAACATTATAATCAGATTATGATACGTGTCAATCTTTGGTTGGAGAGTTATATTTATTTTAATTTGTTCAATTCAATAGGGTTATAAAGGTGACATGTATGTGTACTAAACATTCTTTAATTATCATACATTTATGTCATAGATATTTGTATAAAATATTTTTATTAGATTAATTGAAACGTACGAATTTGTATCTTAACATGATCTGAAAATATCACAAATCTCGAATTAATTGTATACATATTTAATTATATTTCGGATAATATAAATGAATCTCGAATTCTCTGAGAGGTAGCAGTCCCCACCTTTTGTTTCTTATGGAAACAAAATTGAATGTGCGACATATGGAGCGTGTTCGTAGGAAATGTGGTTTTTTATTTGGTATTGATGTGGTTGCGGAGGGTTCGAGAAGTGGATTATCATTTGGATGGAAGCCTGATTGGGTTGTTGAGTTGCAAAGCTATTCCCGGTCTCATAATGATGTCATTATCCGAGAAAGTGTCGAGGTGGTTTGGCGCTTTACATGTTTCAATGGGATCCTGGAGGATTGTGGTCGTTCTGACGCTTGGGATCTTTTACGCCATCTGGGATCTGACCAATCTTTGCCATGGCTGGGGACCTCAATGAGATTGCGTACTTGTTTGAAAAGCGAGGAGGGCGACTTCGTTCAGAACGAAACATGGTTGGTTTCCGAGACGTTTTGAGTGATTGTGACTTTAGTGATATGGGTTTCTCTGAGAATTGGTATATGTGGGAACGTGGGCGCTTGTCGGGGAATAATATCCACGAACGACTTGATAGAGCGGTTGCAAACCATAGTTGGTGGGCGATACGTCCTGGTTGTTCTGTTTTTTACTTATCTCGTACAATCTCAGACCATTGTCTGGTGCTCATAGAGAAAGAGTGATATACTTTCCACATAAATTCTAGTAGGGAGGTGCTTTTTCGATTTGATGCAAATTGGGTCCGTGATGAGGAGGTGGAGCAGATAGTTAAGTCTTGTTGGGATCTTCATGATGAGTCCATTCATGGAAAACTTCAACGTGTTGGTCAGAACTTATTGTCTTGGAGTCGAAGCAATAAGAGGTCTTATACAGAACGTAAGCAGTATTGCAGACTCGGTTGCGTGAGCTGTCAGCAGTTGATCCTGAATATGGAAGCAGATAAGGAGGAACTCTTCTGGGAGCAGCGAGCTCGTGCTAATTGGCTTCGACATGGAGACATGAGCACCTCATTTTTCCATAATTACGCGACATATCGGAGGAAGAATAACACAATAGTGGGGTTGTTTGATACGTATGACACCTGGATAATGGACCCGATAGAGTTGATTTCGGTTGCTGACAGTTACTTTAAGGAGTTGTTTCAATCTTCAAACTTAGGTGTTGTGTCTCCCATCTTTAATGAGATTGAACCACGTGTTACAGACGAAATGAATGAATCCTTACTCTTGCCTTTTCGAGCTGAGGAGGTCTGGCAGGCGATCAAAGGCATGGCTCCGCTAAAAGCTTCAGGGTTGGACATGTTCCCAACTGTATTTTATCAGAAGTATTGGCATGTGATCGATGATGATATTACTTCCTACTGTCTTTCTTTTCTAAATGAGACAACTGACTTGGAGCCGATTAACAACACTCACATTGTTCTAATTCCTAAGGTTAATCAGCCGGTTAATATGACACAATCTAGGCCGATAAGCTTATGTAACGTGCTATATAAGATTGTCGCCAAGGTCTTGGCTTGCAAAACATTATGATTTCTTATGAGATCTTAAATTCTATGCACAAGAAGCAGATCTGGAAACAGGGTCTTTTTACTCTTAAAGCCCTTATGAGTAAGGCGTATGATAGGGTCAAGTGGCCTTTTTTAGAGGGCATGTTGTAGCGTTTAAGATTTGCAGGTCGATGGGTGCGGTTGATCATGAAGTGCGTTAGAACTATAACTTACTCCATTGGTCTAAATGAGATTACTTGCTCTCCGTTCCGCCCCTCTTGCGGTCTAAGAAAAGGGGAGCCATTGAGTCTGTATCTATTCCTTGTTTGCGCGGAGGGCTTGTCTGCTCTGTTCAATGCCGCCAGTCGTGATAAGATTATAAATGGTGCTACGGTGGGTTGGGAGAGGCTCCGAATTGGTCATTTACTCTTTGCTGATGATATTGTGCTCTTTGGAGAAGACACGCCGATGGGAGCTATTAATATGAAGAAATTGTTACATGTTTCCGACACTTTTTCTAGGCAGCGAATTAACTTTGACAATTCGCTTCTGTTTTTTAGTAGCAATGTTGAGGAGGGCGTGAAAGAACATATTGGTCGGGTGTTGGGAGTGCGTATTTCAACCAATCCCGAGCGCTACTTCGGGCTTCCAACTATGGTTGGTCGGAATAAAAGAGAATATTTCCAATATTATTTGGACCATCTGAACAAGAGGACAGCTAGTTGGTGACAACTGTAGTTTCGGTGTCAAAATAAATTCATTTTTCTCAATTAATAATAAGGAAATACGTAGTATAGAGAAATAAGGATCGAATACTCAGGGACTTAGAAAATCACAAATTTATGTTTGAATGATTTTTAATCAGGCGAAAAATAGTAAAATGGGGTGTTTGCAATATGAGATTTAAATAGTAAAAACGAATAAATAAATTAAAGCAATTAAAGTAAAAATAGGATGATGAATATTATGAATAAATATGGTAAAAATCGCCTCAAGCTTCGCTTTGATTCAATTTCCTTTAGATCATCGAATAAGATTTTTTCTTCGGGATTCACGTCGGTTACTTTGTCTACAAGGGCTATCCCCGTGACTCTATCTTGTATACCGAACACCCAAGGCAATCTTTGATTCCGGCTTCGATAATTGATTCTAACGACATCAATTGTCGTAGATCAATTACCGTTTAAGTTCGTAGCATCCGACTCGGATTGTTGCTTCTATAACCGTCAATTCCGATCTCAATTCCCTCTTGGTGAAACTATCTCGCCAAGTGTGTTCCCAGGAAGTCGAATTGCTTTCTATAAGCCAAATCTTCCTCCCACACATTTAATTGCAACAACCTCTTAACCAAAGTCAATCTTTGATTTTGAAAACTGTTTTGATTTTGAAAAATAAGCGCTGAGATTGAGAGAGATATTCCGAAGATATTAAGGGATCGTTTCAATTCTCCCGTTAGAATTGAATCATCGCGACAGCTATCGGCTTTTGAAAAGTTTAGCTAAGCATGGCAAAAGTCATACTTAGCATTTTGAAAACAAAGCTTGAAAATAAAAGAAAAAAAGGAAAAACTTTAATAAAACTATAGAGAAAAGAAGAATGTAATTTGAGTGATGAGTTTAGGCTTACCCCAAGTGGATATTTATAATCTCTCAAAGCCTAAAGGATAAGCAAAGAAAATAATAAAATAATACAAAAGATAATTATTTTTAAATTTAAATTCAAACTTAAACTAGTCTCCTAATGCAACTCTACTCGTCAATCTTCCAGAATGCGTGCGGATGAAGTCTTCTAGAAATCGCCGCTGACTGGACCTTCTAGAAACTGCCACGTCAGACCGCGTCGTGCCCATGTCTCCAGCCGTGACCAAATAATAATAAAAAATGCATAATTCGTCCGTTTTATCAATAATTCTGGAAAGTAAGGACCTGCACGAAAATAGGCATAACACAACCAAATCAACAGCAATAACTCCACAAAATCGAAGAAATAACGAGCAAAGATTAACTATTATGAACACTCATCAAATTCCCCCTCACTTATCTCATGCTTGTCCTCAAATATGATTAACCAAATCAGTCAAAAAACTTAATTAAACGTTCTTTTGTCAAGTTTCACATTCAATGAAGCAAGGTAGAGACCACAATAACTATTCAAGTCAAGAAATCAATCAATTGAACATCACCAATTGGAGCAAGTCAAGTGCAATTGTAATATCCATTCATTCATTAATCTCAATGCTCATAACTCAACACCTTACCGGGATTCACTCAAATCACTCGATGTGTTTAGGGTAAAGAAACTCTCAATGTCAAAATTGACACGATATTACCATAAGCCTGCAAGTAAATCAAATCTCCACTATTAATAAGAACAACATGCATAAATCAAAAGGTCTTTTATTGATTGTAATGGGGCTTAGGCAAAGGTGGGGAAAAGGCTAAAAATATGGCTAAAAATTCAAGGCAAGGAACTAACAAATAATAATTTCAACTCCATCAAAACATTAAGCACAACAAGATAAAAAGATAACATATCAAACAACAAATTTCTTGTCGAAATGCATTTTTTTCTTTTTCACACTTTTGTTGTTTTGTTTTCTATTTTTTATTTCATGTCTTTTTTTCTCTCTTTTTCTTTCGAACAACCCTTTTTTTCTTTCGAACTGCTGTTTTTTTTTCTTTCATTCAACATTTTTTTTCGATGGAGAATACAACGGTACAATTATTCACTTGCCCTGAAAAAGGTAGAAAAGAGGGATAAAATAAAAAGGCTCGGGTTTATGAATATGGTGAAAACAAAGAAATGAGAATAGGCTCAAAAGTAGTTAGTTTAGGGGAAAATGCATAGGTAGGCTTTAATAGTTAATCCTAAGGTGCCCAAATCATCTTTAAGCATCATGTTCATGTGTAATCTTGCCAGTAT